TTTGCCAAGCCAAACATCCAATAAAAGTTCCACCAAGCCACTACTGAGGCACTGGGGTCGAGTTTCTGGACACGGGCAGAACAAGGTTCAATGTCCAAACTTATTGATTGTTCTTGGAGATTTATTTTCCTCTTTCACCAATTACAGAGTTCAAACTTTCCTCTGTTCTCATGCTACCTGCTCTGGCAAAAACCATCGGCCCCAAACCCAAATGCCTGCTGGTCCTTCACCAGGCCCCTACACCTATAGAAAGTGGACTGACCCACATAACTACCTGTCTAAATTTAGAAAATAATTAAGAAAAACAATAAAACAAAAAATAAATAAAATCAACAATTATCAACCTACAAATAAACTCTGTAAATAATACAAAAAATAGAAACTGAAGAATAAAGTAACAAAATTCAAATGGATAAAGAAATAAATAAAAAATAGCTCCAACAACTTCTATTCCGCCTTTTTTCTGTGTGTCGGTATTACGACCCGTTGCCATGGCAACCGACAAACAACAGCTCAACGAGCAGATAGAGCAGAGATCACCGATCAGGGGAATCAACACCAAAAAGCAAACATTTCCCACACAAAAAGTAGCAAAAACACTAAAACAGAACATCCAGTCTGTTACATTATGTTGTCAGGCTGAATGTATTGTGATTATTAACAAGTTTTCGCCTGAACACCGCAGTGGTTGATTAGCTGATTTAAACAGCTGCTCTACTGATGACTTGGTGGGCGGGTGTTTAGTGCTAACGGAACGAAAACACACCGAACTGCGCAGCACATGCTAAGGTTATCAATGTCAATAGCAGGCCAGCAACAGTTAGGCTATTATAACTGACCCACTGCTCACTTGTTCAATCTTTTCATTAAATTAAAACGTTTTTCTCACCTGTGAAATCTGAAGCCCTTATTACCTTTATCTATGGTTTGCTTAACTGCTAAACATTGCGTCCATTGTTCTGATTCTTTGCGTGATTGTAGTAGTTTCCTGACCACCGATATTCCTGACTCAATGGACAGCAATGGCGCATGTGTGACGTACGATAAATCACGTAATGTCCAGTCCAATAATATATATATCCATCAATGCTGCTGGCGCTCTGTCCTTCTCTCGCACTTCCCTACTTAGCAGTGGGTGTCAGGTTACATTGTGTTGCATTCAATGTTGTCGGAAAAAAAAGAATTTCATGAGCTTAATGTCCGATTTGCCATAACTATTTATTGAATTCATTGTCGCTAGCTAGGGTGGCAACAGGAGTGGCAAGGCTCTCGTTTGGGGTGGCAACTGCCACCCCATGCCACCCCAGTAGATCCGCCCCTGACAGCGGAAACGACTATTTTGAATGGAAGTAAGTGGCAA